AGATGGAGTCTTGCTCTGTTGCCAGGCTAGAGCATCGTGGTGTAATCTCAGCTCACTGCAACCTCCACCTCCTGAGCTCAAGATTCTCCTGCCTCAGCCTCCCGAGTAGCTGGCACTACAGGTGTGTGCCACCACACCCACCTAATTTTTGTAGTTTTGATAGAGATGGGGTTTCACCATGTTGGCCAGGATGATCTCAATCTCCTGACCTCATGATCCGCTGGCCTCAGCCTCCCAAAGTGCTGGGATTATTGGTGTGAGTCACTGTGCCTGGCCAATTTCCTTAATTTTCATATAATGAAAACATACGGTCTTCAGAGGCCAGTAATCAAAAACCACTACAAATGAGGTATGGTATTCTGGTCTGCTAGATATTCTATTCTAGCTGGTGTCTTAAGTAAAAGGATCATAAACTACTTAAATCATACGCCTATGTATTCAAGACTAACTATTTAACTGATATTGCTAAATATATAAACACACAGCAGTAAACTCCTTTCTTTAATAATACCCTCCAATTTGCTATTATCAGCTATGATGAGCCAAATTTCAGTTTTCAACTACTGGACAGACGTCTTTAATAATATGCACATTCTTCCTATTTTACATAACAGGTAGTCAAAATATTAGATGATGTCCTGTTCTTATTAAAAAGTATTTTAGGACCCTGGAAAAGTTTTCTTTCACTTGTGAATGAGCAATGGGTTACTTTTTGCTAGTCAGCTATCATCCTGCAGAAAAGGAAAATATTTTGGTATTTTCTCTGCAAAGTGTGCAACATAAATACATATAAAGTCTATTTCTAAATAGTTTTAATTTGACCCACAGAGAAAATAACTTCGTTGTTTAAATATTGATTCTTGTTAATATAAGCATATGCCAAAATACCATCAAATTGATGACTGACCTCCAAATATAGAAAAAAAGGAATTTATTCACTTTAAAAGCTCTTTCTTGGTCTCATTACTTGAGGGAAAAGAGCACACCTGGGTAGCCAAAATGTAAAGACAATGTGACTTGGAATGCAGGGTATGGTCACAGAGGCTGGGATGCAGATGCTGCGCACAGCCAGGAGCACTCAGTGAAGAGTGCTGAAGTTCAAGCAGGGCTCTGATGTAAACAACCGGCACTCTCCTTATCTTCAAAGGGAAATGTTTTTCCCCATTTTTTTTTTTATTGTGGTAAAATATGTCTAACATAAAATGTTATCATTTTAACCATATTTAAATTGATGGTTTTGTGTATTAGGTACATTCACACTGTTGTGCAACCATCAACAAAGGGGAAACTTTTAGCTTTTATTTTGACAAACAAAAGGTGTTACATGAATATTAAGCATTACATTTTGAGAGTGTTTAGGCTGGAAAAGAAAAGGGCCAACCCTTTGTTCTTAGAGCTTACCTAATCCTGAATAACAAAATCTTTTAATGAAAATATCCTTAGTACCTGCTGTCACAGAAATCGTTGGATGTTAAAAAAAAAAAATCCTTTTCATGTCAAATGGGCTAATTTCACTAATTTCTACAATCCACTGTACAAAGTTAAAAAACATCGTCATAGAAGACCTGTGTGACATTGTCCAAAACAGCCCTCTTACCAAAAATAATATGCATTTCCTAGACACAGCCACAGATTTGTGGAGATAAAAAGTCTCTGATGATGAAAATTAACTATATCCAATTATCAGATGTCTAATATGAAACATGAGACCTTAAAGTACAAGCTGGCAAAGACCTGTGTAGAGAATGCTGTGAAAGCTGACCCCACTGACCCTCCTCCTGGCATTTAATAATACCTGCTGCTTAAGTTGCTGTACTAGACGATCCTTCTCCCGCTTCAGTGCAGCCACTTCCTCTTGGGTCTTTTTCTTAGAGGATGAAAGCTCCAAGAGGGCTATATTGGCATCTTTTTCACTAATGGCAGCCAGAAGAGCTTCTTGCCTGCAAAAGGAAGAAAATGCCAACAGTGTGATTGACCCCTTCTAACAATTCTTTGAAGTTACTATTATCATTACCTCCATTTTAAGGGGGATAAAACCAAGACTTTAGAGTTTACACAGTTTGCCCAAGTTCACACTTGCAGTAAATGGTGCAACCAGGAATCCTGTTCAGGCTATTCTGACTCTAAATGTCTTTATCATGTTGTTACATTGCTATCTCAAAAAGTTCCCCTATATTATGCTAAGTGAAATAAGCCAGTCACAGAAAGACAAATACTGCATGTTTCCATTTACATGAGGTATTTAAAATAGTCAAACTCATGCGAACAGAGAGGAGAATGGTGGTCACAAGGGAGAGGAGAGGGGAAAATGGGGAGTTGCTAATCAATGGGCGTAAAGCAGAAGTTATGTAGGATGAGTAAGTTCTAGAGATCTTCTGTATGACATTCTTTCTATAATTAACAATAATGTATTGTACACTTAGTGAATAAGAGGGTATACCCCATGTTAAATCTTCTTACTACAATAAAATAAAGCTTAAAAAATATTTAGGCCAGGCACGGTGGCTCATACCTGTAATCCCAGCATTTTGGGAAAGCAAGGTGGGTGGATTACCTGAGGCCAGGAGTTTGAGACCAGCTTGGGCAATATGGCAAAACCCCATCTCTACGAAAGATCCCAAAAAATTAGCTGGGTGTGGTGGCACATACATATGGTCCCAGCTACTCATTATTCGGGAGGCTAAGGTACGAGAATCTCTTGAGCCTGGGAGGCGGGTTGCAGTGAGTAGAGATGGTGCAACTGCACTCCAGTGGGGGTAACGAGGTAAGACCCTATCTCAAAAAATAAAATTGTTAACCTTAAAGAAAACTATATTAGTAAGAAATTAGTATTTCATATTTTTTAAAAAAAGAGTTCTTAGATATAGTTGTAGGTGAACTTAAAAAGTAAAAAAAAGTTACTTTCTTTTTGTTCTTTATCTTGTCACGTATATGCTTTATCCATTTATAACTTACTCCTTTGATAATTATTCTGTAGCTTCCAAACAAACTGAGGCATTACTGACACTGAAAGCATTTTCATGCATTCAGTGTACAACAAATCACAAACTTTAATAAAGTGGATATAGAAACACAGCCATCTATTCCTGGCCCATTATGAACATCAATCATTCTTTTAATCGCATCAATGCAATTAAGTTTGCAGTTGTGGCTTTATTGGCAATGATCTGCACATTTTGAAACAGTAATTTAAACTTTACTGATTCCTTGTGGTTTGGCTAATAATTACTTCATGGTTTATGTCCAAAAGGAAAAAAAGGTGGATTTAGTGGGGAGGCTGATGTAAGAAATTTACAAAATAATCAGAATGAAGTTGTTGAACAATTAGTTTCATAATCTAAAATGTATTTCTCAGTAGCTCATCTTTTATGAAAGAAGACATATTTGATTTATAGGAACTATATAAGTGACCTGAGCTTTTGACCTGAGGAAATGCTGAATCTGAGAACCCACTGCCTAAGTTTATCCTTGCTTCTGTCTTTTGTTAAGATAATTGAGCTTCAATAGCAGTCATATGGAAGAGTTTTAGTTTAGCCACAGACTGGAAGACTATCTACTGAATATTCTAGTGGATATTCTTTATTCTGGATGCCTAGGTAAACTCAACTCTGAAAGCAATACTAACAAATGGAAGATGTATACTCAGTTTACATCATGGAAATAAAGATTTGTTTCACTAGTTTTGCTGCTGGAAGAGGAGAGACGATTCTCAATGCATGGTCCCCACACTATGCAATTCTAAGAAATGGCAGGCAACTTATACTACGAGGATCCAGTCATAGCTAAAGGGATAATGACAGTCTAAATATATCCACTGACCACTTGAAAAAAATATGTTAAGTGGTGAAACGAGCTTAAAGGTGAAAGAGTTCAAGATGGTCTAACTATGCAGTTTCCTGTTGATTGTGGTCATCTGTTCCCTTTCGGGAAGCTCAAAGACTGACAAAGCTGGAATAAGAAGCATGCTTTCCCAGTGAGGGTGCTACATTTCTGTGCACCAATAGTCAGAATCACACATATAGTAGCAGGAAAGCAGGAGAAGATGAATGACAAATAAATTACTCTATCTAATTAGACTGAAATAGCAGAAGAAGATGAATGACAGATAAATGAGTCTATCTAATTAGACTGAACTATCAGCACCTTTGCTGAATACAAAATACAAAGGTGATTGGTGGGGCCTATTTTGTGCTTAAAACATCCTAATATGACATAGTAAAAATGATTCCATAGAGTTGAAGCTTCTTGACTGCATTCCAAACTCTCATAAATGGTATGATTGGCCAGCTAGCGTGGTACAGTTAATCTCTGGGGTAAAATGTCAAATTTGCAAATCACTATATAACAGATGACAATTTAGACTTCTAATTTCAAAGTTTTAAAGAATGTGGCATTGGAGGCTGAGCCACTGGAATAATGTCTTTTTAATAAGGTACATAATTTGAAATATCTTTTATGCAATTCAAAGAGATTTTACTTCATTGATGCTATTTTTTACTAAGCAATAATATGCTATGGAGTGTACAGAATCAAATTTTCTCTATGGCCATGGCTCTCATCCTCTAAAAATTCCCCCCAAAATTATCATGTCTTTGTCCTTTCCATTTAAAACGTATACTCCTGATATTGATTTCTACATGTGTAGGTGCCTAAGAAGGGCAATTCATAGTCAAGAGAATAAAATGTTTTGATTATACATTATAAATATAATCATATAAATTCTGAGTAATGTCTATCATTGATAGGTATACTAGCTTTTAGGTTTTTCTTTTATTTTCCAAAAAGGACAAAGACAATATTGTTCTCTTGGTTACAATTTTGGTATGTGAAGTGGATACTGTGAGGGAGAATAACTTCTTGGAAAAAATTAGGAAGATAGGCAAGAATGTGAAAGCTAGTAAACAGTAACAGCCATGACTTTTAGGGAATAAGAAAAAATTGTTGTTCCTCTAATACATCTCATAGAAAGGACCATATGGTATAGTTGAACTTACATGATGAAGTTTTACATGGCACACTTGAGAGTGTCTAAACTCAAAAATCTTGTTAAAAATACTCTGCTTTTCAGAGGGAATGGAATTCACAGTGGGGGAAAAAAAAGCAAATTGAAAAAGAATCTTATTTTAGTAGCTGTCTAGTCAGTATAATTGCTTCTTTGAAAAAAAGTTTTTTCTGATAAAAGTAGTACACAGTCATTGAAGAAAAACTGAAAGATACAGAGAACTACAAAGACAATAAAAATTACCAGAAATAAGTCCTTTTTATAACTTCTTTTAATATGAGTTAATAGTTTTTGAGATCACCTATTCTAATACTGATTTAAAGAAATTGAACCTTAAAGGGAATTAATCACTGACTTTAAGAGCTTTACTAACTAAAGACTATCCACAGAAAGGGGAGACTTGCTAGTGTAGCACATTCTGACTTCATTCCCATGAGACCCTAGGGAGTAATACAAGCACATAAAATGTGAACGGTAATAAATGCATGCCACAAGCCCAGGGCAAAATAAGAACTGCAATGCTCTTCCTGTCAAATTACTCTCCTTGTTCTGTTCCCTTCTTTTCCACAGTTAAAAAAAAAATGTGGACGTGAAACCTTTCAAAGTGGTTAGTAATCGCCCCCTGCATGACCAACATGCACATTACTAGCATAATGAGTAGGTAGCAGCAGAAATCTAAAGTTATTACAGTGGTCTATTCACTCTACCCCTGGTGCTTTCAACTACCAGGCCAGTTGGACCTACCCTTTGACCTGCAAATTCTAATAGAATCAAGATGTCTCTAAAAGGACTCTGCTTTGGCATCTGAGCTTCAGGAAACAGTAAGACCACACCCCCTACCCCTTCCCCCATCTGGGCAAATTTCAGAAACTGGACGCAAATATCAAAGGCAAATGGAGCTCAAAATGCTTTTGAATAAAATTCTTGAATCCTTGAGAACACTACCACATTAGCCTTCTATTGCCACTAAGTAAGAGATCATAATTAGCTTTGGAATATAGTGGTTAAAAATCCGAATGAATCCTAAATATGTATGTATGTTTAACAGAAATGCAAGACAAAAAAAAGTATGAATGAAGGAATGTTATCAAAGTTTATTATTCACTCCTCCTCCAACTATGTTAAATTGAAGAATTGCACAATCATGTTATATACATTCTATAATCCTGAATCCATGAAAACATCAGGAAAAATATCAGGTGAAAATTAGGACAAGATAAGTAGCTTTGGACATTTTAATGTCATGGACATGTAGGAAAAGTTTAATTTAAGATAAATCTGAAGTTCAGATTCTCTTACTGATGGACTAAATAAACCATTGATTCTGTTGTCTTCCTTGCTATTTAACCAATTAACTACCCAGAGTGACTAGTAAACCACCAGTACATCTTTTCTACTCTTTTATCTCTTCTCCTGAAGAAATCCTCTGATGACTAGATTCTTCAACTTCCCTTGCAGAGATTTCAGAGACTATGGTAGATATACTATCTTAAATAAGCTCTGTGAAAACCATAGTCCATGGGAGAGCTTTTGTGGGTGAACCTCACCGAAATACCTGCTCTCTCAAATTTTGGTCCCTGTACATCTTCTTATGTCCTCTCTAGGTCATCTTTATTTAGGTACCCACAAAAATCTCTTTAACGTAAAATGTCAACACTTAATTAACCTTTCCTTCCATCAAAACAAATTACCCTTTTAATGTTAATAGAGCCATCATATTCCTGGATCCACAGGTTGACATTTAAATAATTTGATTTTGTCTTTGCTCTCACTGGCTAATATCCCAGTTTTGCTCATTCTTCTTTTCTAATAGTTTTTAATGTACCCACTGTTTTGTATGTGCAGGTCACTCCCACCCTTTTATCTTGGGCCTACATTACTCTTAAAGCCTCTTCTCTGACTTCTCTATCATTCTACACTGTCCTACTTCTCCAAGGT